GCATGAATGAAAGCTTCCTGTATGATATATGAAGCTTGACGCAGGGAAATGCTTGATTGCATCCAGGTGAGGATTGGCAGTGTGGCGCTGCAGCTGAGTGTGATTGACAGATGCTGTTGCCGCGTAGCAACAAGACTAGGAGCAAAGTGAGCTTAGTTCTTCCTGACTTTAGTTTAATTCATCTGCAGATAATATGGAAAACAGTTGTGAACAGCTGGGGTGGACATTCATGTGCTCTGTCTCATTCTGTGAAGACAGTCACAGTTTGCTGTATCATAAGTTAGATAGAAAAACCTGGTTAAGTAAGCGAGTAATCTTTATTTATACAGCGCCTTTCACAGACCAGAGTCACAAAGTGTTTTATAATTGTTACTGACCATTTTCCTTTCACTCACAGTGATGGGAGCGACCAGACCTACTCCCACTTTTTTACCACTGTTTTTTTCCGTGTTGTTCCTTTGCCGATGCAGGAGCGTCTATGGACAGTGTTGATGATCCAGGACACTCAACATTGAACGACATTTATGGACTTTATTAACATTATGGACATCGGTCTCAGCCCCTTATGGACCAATGGCTCTATGTGTTTTTGATCATTGCATTTTCTGTGTTTGAACTGTTTGATTTTCTGATCTGTGTTGGGGAATCGACAGCTTTGTATATTCCTCTGAGATAACTTATGTAGTTGTAGTTCTCTTGTTTATAACCAATTATAATATGCACAACTGTTAAACGGATCTAGATTCGATAAGGAGCATAGTGAGCACAAACAACTTGGAGTTCTTGCCAAAAAACATTTTTTATTTGTCAATTGGAGTAAAAATAAAATACAAAAAATAGTATTTGTGTGTAAAAAGAAAATAAAGTGTCCACCCTTTGGTTTTGTGTTGTTACAATTGTCTTTGTAAAGTGGGTAGCAATCTCCTTTTCAGTTATTTGTTCTTCTCAGTCTTTTTTTTTTTAGTCAAGTCCTTTTAGTCAAATGGCCATATGGTTCCTTTCACTCTTATCTGGATCTCAAAATGTGGTGAGGTGGGTCCCAGTACTCAGGATCATGTGCCGGTCCCTGAAGGCAGTGGTCCAGGTAAGGCAGCGAGCAGCGGGTCCTCAACCGTAGTCTCTCACAATAAAAAAAAACCAACCTGCATATTAAAGGGAACATATCATGAAAAATCCACTTTTTGTGTCTTAAATGCCTGATGTTGTGTAGTTGGAGCCTCTAGAAGTGCAAAAAAGTTTAAATCAGTCTCTTCATGGGTTGCAGAGAACACTTCATATTCAGTTTAGGTAAGATTTTTCAACCGGTTCTGATTTTGCCATTCTCTATTACGTGTTTAGAATTATTACGTCACAGTATTTGCAGCGAGACTGCCATATAAGGGCATGGGCGTCCAACAAAACACTTCGGCCCAGCCCTCCTCTACTGTGCATCACTTCGAATTTGTAGTCCAAGCTCAAGGATGCCAGCGAACAGGGCTGGACTGGCCATCGGGCGTACCGGGCAATGCCCAAAGGGCCGATGCCCATATTTGGGCCGGTCTGTCTGCCTCATACAAAACACATGTTTATGAGAAGTGTAAATCCGTTGAGAATTGTTCGAGCGGGGCGCGTGTATCCGCGGGGCACCTGCTGTATGTACTTGAACGGGATTCCGCCACCTCAGCGGCCGCAGTGTTCCGGAGCATCTGCGGCCGCTTTGTAATGCGGCTGCGAGAGGTTGTGAGCGTCCAGCCGCTCGCAGCCGCTCCACCGTGTTGTGGCTGAGCGCGCAGCCTCAACGTGGCCATGTACCCAACCCCATAAACGCGCACAGGACCATGCATGTCTTTGAGTAATCTGTGCACCCAATAAATACACTGCTGCAGGAAACAGTCTGCGTCTCCCCTCTCCACTCGAAGCGCGATTAAACGCCCTAAATAAAGCTCTGATACCTAAATTTTGCATTGCATTAAAAGTTCATGTTTGAGCCCAAAAGTAATATGTTGTGAACAAATTAAACAGATTTAGAGCCAGCAAATGGCTGACAATATGCATTTCAGTCTTTTTTGACCAATTCTCATCCCTGTAACAAACAATAGTGTTGTCTGTGTCCACCTCCCTCACTCTGAGACATGTTCATTACCCTCTTGTAATGTAGACTATTGCATTTTATTTTATTGTTGAAACTGCACATATCCTGATCCTCTTCAGTATTTACTTCCGCATACTGTATAAACTAGGAGTCTGCAAACTGCGGCTCCGGAGGCGCATGCGTCTTTTTCCTTCTGTAGAAGGAAAAACGTTCTTAACGTTTTTAAATACTGTAAAATTATGAGTAAGTAATATTCAATGTAAACATTTCTGTCAACGTAGTGTGTCATATCCTGCGACGTAGGCCAGCGCCAGGCGGCCGCTGTTGTAAACAAACCGGCGTGTGAGCTCTGCTTGTGTACAAGTCTCTCCATGGCCTCGCTCCAAAATATATTAGTGACATGTTAGTCCCATACGAACCAGCCCGGACTCTGAGGAGCACAGGGACTGGACTCCTGTTAGTGCCCAGAGTCAGAACTAAACATGGGGAGGCTGCTTTTCAGATTCATGCTGCTAAAATCTGGAACAGTCTTCCTGAAGATGTGAGACAGGCCTCCTCTCTGACAATGTTTAAAACCAGGTTAAAGACAGTTCTGTTTAGCTGTGCATACAACTGAGGGATTTTATATTTTTATCTTTCTTTTTAATGTTCTGTGATTATTTATGATTTTAAAGCTTTCTTATTTTGTTCAGCACTTTGAGTTGCCTTGTGTATGAATTCGGGCGTTCTGCTCTCCCAAAATTTCATCCACTGAGCGGCGCTGTGATCAAAAAATGACACCGTTTGTTGCCCAGTTCACTTCCGGTTGATTTCATACAATGGCGAATATGGCTCACGAAAACAACAAACGATTGACAGTGCCTGAATTGCGTGAAAGGTTGAAGCGAAAGGGTATTTGCAGTGTGGGAAAACGAAAGGAGGAATTGTTGTTGCTAGTTCAACGAGCGGATGGTGTTTATGAAGATTTAGAAGAAGATGACAGCGAGCAGAGTGAACGAAAACGGCTGTGTGTGCGAGTGACAGATGGTAACAATGAGAATGAAGTTCAGCTAAGAGGGAAGAATGTGAATTGGACGGATGATTTGCGCGATATGCCACTAGTTAGAGACGGGAATGTATTTGCATACAGAAAATGACGAAAACACTCAACCATTTAGAGAAAATGCGCCGGGCAGAGAGAACCGGAAGTTGCGAAGGCAAGTGTTACCCATAATGCAACGCAAAATTCAGTCGCTCCCCCGCCCATCGGATGGAATTTTGGGAGAGCAGAACGCCCGAATTGTGCTATATAAATAAACTTGCCTTTCCTTGCCTTGACTGTGAGCATGGATCCCAAAGCTAAAAAGAGAAGAGTCGATAATAAGACTGGACTAAGAATGAAAATTAACGTTTTCTTTCAGTCAATGAGGAAGGCCTGCTTCATGTTTGCGATGTAATGAGAAGTTTCTATGAGATAATTGTATCTGTGCTTAGAAACTACAAAAATGGCCGCTCGGGGTGGAGTTGAACCTGTGTCACCTGGATGGGGGGGTGGTCAAAAGCGCCTCATTTGCATTTAAAGAGACAGCACCAAAACAGGTTGCTCTCAGACGCACCTCAGAACAGGTGTAGAAGAAAGGCCCGTGGAGCTACAAATAATGAGACTCAGACCCAGGCATTGCAGTTACGCTTTATATAGGCCACAAATTAATGATTTAGATGAATGATAAATTATTTGAAAACACGATATGTCCACTTTAAATGAACAAATGACTAACAGTTCACATGCAGGTTTTCTCATTCTCTATCAATTATTCTCTTATCAATAACAAGCTTGCATTTGTCTCAAAAAATCAACTAATACAGTTTACAATAAAATAAATATGGCATAGGCCTCATACCACATTGACAGTAAACCACAAGTTGATACATCAAAACATCATTTTCAATTATCACAAAGTACAGAATTATTCAGTTTTCTCCAATTGGTTTTAGAGACATCAAAATGATAGCTCAAAGGCTAACATTTGCTTAGCGGGGTTAGCAATAGTTACTTAACAGCATATAGACTCACCGGAGAAGATCTCTGCAGAAAAACAGTCTGCAGGGATGAGCTATATCAGTATGGCTTTTACCAGTGTCAACTGGGGTTTGCAAAAGAAAAAAACAATATCATTATACAATTCTTAAATTTGCAACCAAGACCTCGTGTGCGTTACCTGCCACGTTTCTTTCCAAGTCTGCTGTGACTCACGTGGCTTCAAAATATATTTCGTCTGGCGTCAAGTGCCCTCTGCTGGTGAGGCATGGTATAACTTTTCATAAAAACGTCTAAACAAACCATTTGCATTCACTATGCAAGTTAAAATTAAAATGATATCAAAAATAAAAGGAATGTAAATACATTAAAATGAAATGATTGTACTGACCAAATTAACAGGGGTTACATCGTGATTTAGGGCAATACACAAAGAAATTGAATTGATTACCTCATTCATTTTCCACCCCTTTTATAAGTCAATTTCTGGGTCGGGGGGTGACAATCAGAGCTGCCACCCAATGCTCATAGCACCAGTCCTTCGCTGATCCTCCTGCGGGCAATGTGGGGTCAATGCTCTACCAACTGAGCCGCTGTCAAATTGTAGTTGGTAATTGTCGCCACTGGTAATGGAAAGAACATACAAACTCGCTGGTCCTCTCACTCCTCTGGCTATTGTCTGGTTATGTCACTGCAGCAACATGGTGGCATAGTGGTTAGCACTAGTGGTTCACAGCAAGCACCTGGGTTTGATTCCAGACGGGTCCTGGAGGTGGAAATAAATAAATTAATGTTTAGTGCGATGGGAGTGGTTTGAGTGGGAGCATCCTTTCCTACAGAAGGGGAAGTGTTTCTGAGACAGTGTGTATAAAATGAGAGCGGTTGTGACTGTAGTTAGATCTGATCCTGACCATGTCTCCTCTGCTGTTCCTGCAGGTGTTCCTCCAGGTGCTCCTGCTGCTGGTCAGCAGCTCCGAGGCCTACAAACCTGTCATCATTGTGCACGGACTGTTCGACGGACCAGACGACTTCATAAATCTCACTGACTTCATCCAGGAGGTGAGGAACTGATCAAGGCAGTTTCCAATAATAATAATAAGAGACAGAAATAGTCTTCCAAACTTCTGAATTAATGCATCAAATCATGGCAAATTTTTCAAAAATGTCACACTTGGTCGGTTTTGGGACATGATTCAATTTTGGAAGTGATTCGGCCCACTGTTGGGATCCTGGATTTGTATTTGCAAAATCAACTATTTGAAGCTTTAAACGCTGTTTTTGTTTTATGATCATTCCTCAACAGTCAAAAACCTGGAGTTGTTTTCATATCCACCCATGCTAATATCAGGAACTTTTGGCACAAACATTTAGCTTTTCCCCTCGTAGCTCCAAACAATCTTCTAGGAGCAGAACTACGAACGAGTCATTTTTCACACAATATTTCTCATTTCAAAGTAGATTTTTACTCTTTGCTATTCTGGCAAAAGACTGGTCAGAAGTATTCTAGTCAAGCCTACATCTAGAATGACTGTTTTGGTATTTCCTTTTTGCTAAAACTATAATACAATGTATGTCATTTGTGTGCAGACCCACCCCGGCACTAATGTCACCACTCTGGACATGTATGACTATTGGAAGAGTCTTACGCCTCTCTGGACTCAGGTGGAAGGCTTAAGGTCTCTTCTGGAGGCCAAGCTGAACCAGTCCGAAGAGGGTGCCCATCTGATCTGCTTCTCTCAAGGTACAACCAGGACTAAACCTGGGTAGCAGACTTCCGTTCATTTAATTGTTTCGAACGGCTCTCAAAACGTACAAACCCAATGTCAATTATGAATGATGTGAGTTCCAGTGTGGATCCTTGCGGTTCTCCACAGGTACAACTACAACTTGATCAGTGCTGGTCAATCTGTAAAATCTGTTGTCTTTCACACTAACAGCTCTCCAACCATTACTTTGTTTGTTCCTTATGCCACAGGTTTCCATTTTGTTTAAAGATACAATCATACAAATAAAGCCTTTCCCCAGGTGAACTAGACTTAGTGCAGTTAAAATGAACCAGTGTGAGCGTCGGTCTGCTACAATAGTGATGTAAAATGAATGAATAGAAGCTACTAAGGGCTGTTGTGTGTTGTGTTGTGTGTTGTGTTGTGTTGTGCAGGAGGTGTGATCTGCAGAGCGCTGCTGTCTGTGATCCCAAACCACAACATTCACACGTTCATCGCCTTGTCCTCTCCTCTGGCCGGACAGTTCGGAGGTCAGAGACTCACTTGTGAAGTATTCTAATGACAGCATGATGTTCTGGGACAGTTTGAGCCATTAACAGTTTTGTGTATGTATATACACATTTACAGGAGCCTGATGAAAAGTTGCCGCCGCCATGTTAAATATAACTTCTGACAAAAGCCCTCGTAATTACGTCACACATGATGAAAGAATGTTTACATGAAGCAGTTTTAGTACCGTTCGAACTGTTCTGTCTCATGAGCCCAACATCCCTGTGCAGCAGATGGTCTGTGAGCAAAAGAGTTACGTTTGTGTTGTTTGTGTTGTTTGTGTTGCAGTCACAAAAACACCTCAGACGGCTTTTCCCTGAAACAATTTGTGAAGACTTTTACAAAATCTGCTACCTCAGCTGGTTCCAGCAGATGTCCGTCTGTCAGTACTGGAACGGTCTGTGGACAAGTATCACCAGGACACATGATGTTTAAAGGTCCTATATCACGCTTTTCTTCATGTTTCACACTCAATCCTATACACATGTGTGATATTAAGGTGTATGATACACCACACAACACTCAAAGCTTGTGAGATTATTGCCATCTCTTGTATCGAGGTGACGTCACCTCGACTCAAACGAGCTGATCCAGAGAAGAGTCTGCTCCTCTGCCTGTGAGCCCGCCTCCCCCCGCCCGCACGGTGACGTAGCATCACGCTTTTGTCGTTTATCACCTGTACTTAGTAATTTCAGACATAAGAATAAACTTTTTCCAACAATGACAATCCGTCACATCGAGCCCTATGTCCTCGATGCACAATCAGACCCTAGTTATTTAGTTTACAGAAGTATACAGCGAGTTAGCGTCACTACTTACAGATCGAGGGGGTTCGAGTTACGTCTTTTACCATGGGAATAACGTGTTTCCAGATCAGCCTTTGAGTAAGTCCAGTTCCATTGTCCCTGTAGTTCTGGAACAGTCTCAGTGAAGTGTCCAAGATGAACCGGTATTATAATAGATCCATGAGATGAACAGATGAAAAAAGTCGAGCCGCTTTCTTCCTCTTAGGGCCAAATAGTGTGTCACATATTTACACCCATAACACACTTCATTCAAGTTGACGTGATCCTAACACTTTTAGTTTCTGACAAAAGCATAAAAACAGCAGCTCTATGTGGTGTCCGCGAGACCAGACCACAGACGCTGGACTCGGGAGCCGGAGCCTGTGCGCTCTGATTCGCTGTTTTGATCCGTCAATCACCTCCCGCCGGCTTTTAATTTATTTATTTTTTTATTATTTTTGACAAAAAACAGCATACTAATTGTGTATTGTTTACCCCGTTTTGACAAAAGTATTTAACAACTATTTTAAATACAAAGCAAACGGGGTCATGCGCGTCATCAGTGTGGTTTTCGTCACTGAAGTGGACCCGAGCGTTTCTGTGCCTCACGCTGGGGAAGGAGACAGATTGTTCTCTTACAAAAGATTGACAGAATCAATGAATAAACTACTGTGGGCTTGTGTATGAAGGCCAAATAGCATTGTAATCATGTTTAAAGCAGAGAAAAGTCAAAAACCGTGATATGGGCCCTTTAAGTTACTTTTAATTTGCTTTTTTTTATCTAAAGTAAAATATGTTTTTATTGTGTAAACTTCAGCAAGTCATGCATGCTTTTATCCTTCATGTCTGGACACTCCTCTCACTTTCTTATTTTCTATTAAATTAAACTATATACAATTGAGTAGATTAACTTGATATCATTCCACAGATCCTCATAACAGAGACCTTTACCTTGAGAAAGACGACTTTCTGCCTCTGATCAACGGAGAGACCCAGCACAAGGATCTACCAGGTCTGAACCAGGACTGAACCAGAACTGAACCAGGACTGAACCAGGACTGAACCAGGACTGAACTAGGACTGAAACAAGAATGAACTAGGTCGGAACCAGGACTGAACCAGGACTGAATTTGAAATAAAGCAGGACTAAAGCAGGACTAGAACAGGACGGAACCAGAACAGAACCAGGACTGAAGCAGGACTGAAGCGGAACTGAACCAGGACTGAGTCTGTGTATTTTGCTGCAGAGTGGAAGAAGAACTTCCTGCAGATAAAGAAGATGGTTCTGATCGGAGGTCCAGACGACGGGGTCATTACTCCGTGGCAGTCCAGGTCTGTGGCAGACGACACGGGACAACACAACACGACTGAGAAGCACATAGAAGAGCTGTTTGAACTAGACGCTACACATGTGCTTACAAATACACATAGTGTACAAAGAAATTCTCCTTGACAGTGATATGTCTCACAATTTCTTCCCAGTCTCTTTGGATTTTACAACAAGAAGCGAGAAGTGGTGGAGATGAAGAATCAAGAGGTGAGTCCTGCACTTTATATCTGTGTGTTTTTCCCCTCTCCTTCCTCGGCCATGGCCATAGCTGCATGTTGAAGCCAGATCACGTCTAACCTCTGAAGCTAGCAACTAAAAACAAACAGGTTAACTATTTTTTTTTTTTGCATTTTAATACTTTTATTTCTTGTACACAAACCAAAAGTGAACAGACAGGTAACAGTCTGTTCAGTCCCGGGACCGGGCCGCAGTCCCGCCAGCCGCTCGCCGACCACGGGTCGCCACCGGAGACCCCATGGGACAGCACTAACACGGAAACAGTGCGTCGCCCGGCATGGCGCAGCCGGGGCCCACCCTGGAGCCCCCCCCCCCGGGCCTGGGTATCGGGGCCGTATGCGAGGCCTGGTGGCGGGCCTTAGCCACGGGGCCCGGCGGGCTCAAGCCCGAAGGGATGACGTAGGGCAGTCCTCTGTGGGCCCACCACCTGCAGGGGGTCCGTGGTGAAGTGGTGCCGAGGGACTGGGGCGGCAGTCGGAAGGCGGAGACCTGGCGCCCCAGTCCGCACACACAAATCTGGTTTGGGAGTGGAATGGTCACCTCACTGGGGGGAAGGAGCCGAGCTCGGGGGGAGTTTGATGCGATACCGATAGGATAGTCGGCCTCACCTCCACACCACAGCTAGGGCTCTTGGAAACCCAACTTCCTTGAGAGGGGTTGGACGCTTCCACTTTTCATGCATGTTCAGGGGGTGAAATTAAGGCTCAAAGTGCAGAATTTGACATCTCTCGAGCAAAAACAATAGGCCCTTTCCCCGTTCGGGGCTCGGGCCTAATAATAACCCCCATGGGATTTTTCGGAGGTCAAGTTTGTCGTAGAGCCATGAAATTCGGTACACATGTTCCTCAAGTCAAGACATGAAAAAAATGTTATTATGGCCCCGCCCTCTGACATACAGGAAGCCCATAAATTTCACTGCAAAATGGAAAAATGAACAGCAATCATTTTCATACATGTCGGTTGGAAAGCGACTCCTCCTCGGCCGTTTCACCGATTCGCCTCAAAATCGCTCCACATCATCTCAACACATGTACCTTGAAAATGACTTCGGCGATTTTTCATCAGTGAAACGTTGTTCGAACAGGGGAGCTGCAAATTGTGACCTTTTTTTGGCCGTTTTGGACAATATTAAATTTGCTCCCGTTTGCACATACAAAGTCTGATTTGCACAAACTTTAATACATTGTTTAACTCTAGGGTCTAGGTCAATTAAAAGTGAAATAAAAGAACTTGGCTCATTAGTGCCCCTACAGATGGAGTCAAAGTTTTCAGAGTTTTTCATACTAAAAACTCTGAAATAGTCTGTAGGGGGCGTTAATGAGCCAAGTTCAATTATTCACTTTCAAATGACCTAGACCCTAGAGTTGAACCATGGATTCAAGTTTTGTGCAAATCGGAATTTGCGCTATGTGTAAACGGGAGCAAATAGAAGGTTGTGAAAAACGGCCAATAAACACTCACATTTTGCCGCTCCGCTGCTCAAACAACGTTTCACTGATCAAAAATCCCTGAGGTCATTTTGATGGTACATGTGTTTAGACAATGTGGAGTGATATGGAGGCCAATCGGTGAAACGGCCGAGGAGGAGTCGCTTTCCAACCGACATGTATGAAAACTTTTGCTGTTCATTTTTCCATTTTGCAGTGAAATTTATGGGCCTCCTGTTTGTCAGAGGGCGGAGCCATGATAACATTTCGGTCGTATCTTGACTTGAGGAACATGGTGTACCGAATTTCATGGCTCTACGACAAACTTGACCTCTGAAACTCCCATTGGCTGTTGTAGGTGGCGCTGTTCTGGCATTTTTTGAGTCCCATAAAAATAAACACCAAAATATCAAATTTTTCACCAGGTCTGATGTTTGGTCAAAATTTTACAACTTTTCATGCATGTTCAGGGGGTGAAATTAAGGCTCAAAGTGCAGAATTTGACATCTCTCGAGCAAAAAAAATAGGCCCTTTCCCCGTTCGGGGCTCGGGCCTAATAATAACCCCATGGGATTTTTCGGAGGTCAAGTTTTTTGTAGAGCCATGAAATTCGGTACACATGTTCCTCAAGTCAAGACATGAAAAAAATGTTATTATGGCCCCGCCCTCTGACATACAGGAAGCCCATAAATTTCACTGCAAAATGGAAAAATGAACAGCAATCATTTTCATACATGTCGGTTGGAAAGCGACTCCTCCTCGGCCGTTTCACCGATTCGCCTCAAAATCGCTCCACATCATCTCAACACATGTACCTTGAAAATGACTTCGGCGATTTTTCATCAGTGAAACGTTGTTCGAACAGGGGAGCTGCAAATTGTGACCTTTTTTTGGCCGTTTTGGACAATATTAAATTTGCTCCCGTTTGCACATACAAAGTCTGATTTGCACAAAACTTTAATACATTGTTTAACTCTAGGGTCTAGGTCAATTAAAAGTGAAATAAAAGAACTTGGCTCATTAGTGCCCCTACAGATGGAGTCAAAGTTTTCAGAGTTTTTCATACTAAAAACTCTGAAATAGTCTGTAGGGGGCGTTAATGAGCCAAGTTCAATTATTTCACTTTCAAATGACCTAGACCCTAGAGTTGAACCATGGATTCAAGTTTTGTGCAAATCGGAATTTGTATGTGTAAACGGGAGCAAATAGAAGGTTGTGAAAAACGGCCAATAAACACTCACATTTTGCCGCTCCGCTGCTCAAACAACGTTTCACTGATCAAAAATCCCTGAGGTCATTTTGATGGTACATGTGTTTAGACAATGTGGAGTGATATGGAGGCCAATCGGTGAAACGGCCGAGGAGGAGTCGCTTTCCAACCGACATGTATGAAAACTTTTGCTGTTCATTTTTCCATTTTGCAGTGAAATTTATGGGCCTCCTGTTTGTCAGAGGGCGGAGCCATGATAACATTTCGGTCGTATCTTGACTTGAGGAACATGTGTACCGAATTTCATGGCTCTACGACAAACTTGACCTCTGAAACTCCCATTGGCTGTTGTAGGTGGCGCTGTTCTGGCATTTTTTGAGTCCCATAAAAATAAACACCAAAATATCAAATTTTTCACCAGGTCTGATGTTTGGTCAAAATTTTACAACTTTTCATGCATGTTCAGGGGGTGAAATTAAGGCTCAAAGTGCAGAATTTGACATCTCTCGAGCAAAAACAATAGGCCCTTTCCCCGTTCGGGGCTCGGGCCTAATAATAACCCCCATGGGATTTTTCGGAGGTCAAGTTTGTCGTAGAGCCATGAAATTCGGTACACATGTTCCTCAAGTCAAGACATGAAAAAAATGTTATTATGGCCCCGCCCTCTGACATACAGGAAGCCCATAAATTTCACTGCAAAATGGAAAAATGAACAGCAATCATTTTCATACATGTCGGTTGGAAAGCGACTCCTCCTCGGCCGTTTCACCGATTCGCCTCAAAATCGCTCCACATCATCTCAACACATGTACCTTGAAAATGACTTCGGCGATTTTTCATCAGTGAAACGTTGTTCGAACAGGGGAGCTGCAAATTGTGACCTTTTTTTGGCCGTTTTGGACAATATTAAATTTGCTCCCGTTTGCACATACAAAGTCTGATTTGCACAAAACTTTAATACATTGTTTAACTCTAGGGTCTAGGTCAATTAAAAGTGAAATAAAAGAACTTGGCTCATTAGTGCCCCTACAGATGGAGTCAAAGTTTTCAGAGTTTTTCATACTAAAAACTCTGAAATAGTCTGTAGGGGCGTTAATGAGCCAAGTTCAATTATTTCACTTTCAAATGACCTAGACCCTAGAGTTGAACCATGGATTCAAGTTTTGTGCAAATCGGAATTTGTATGTGTAAACGGGAGCAAATAGAAGGTTGTGAAAAACGGCCAATAAACACTCACATTTTGCCGCTCCGCTGCTCAAACAACGTTTCACTGATCAAAAATCCCTGAGGTCATTTTGATGGTACATGTGTTTAGACAATGTGGAGTGATATGGAGGCCAATCGGTGAAACGGCCGAGGAGGAGTCGCTTTCCAACCGACATGTATGAAAACTTTTGCTGTTCATTTTTCCATTTTGCAGTGAAATTTATGGGCCTCCTGTTTGTCAGAGGGCGGAGCCATGATAACATTTCGGTCGTATCTTGACTTGAGGAACATGTGTACCGAATTTCATGGCTCTACGACAAACTTGACCTCTGAAACTCCCATTGGCTGTTGTAGGTGGCGCTGTTCTGGCATTTTTTGAGTCCCATAAAAATAAACACCAAAATATCAAATTTTTCACCAGGTCTGATGTTTGGTCAAAATTTTACAACTTTTCATGCATGTTCAGGGGGTGAAATTAAGGCTCAAAGTGCAGAATTTGACATCGGCCGTACCGTCTGCTAGGAGACGCCTTTTGTCCAAAAACAGGGGAAAGATTAATCACCCTATTTTTGTTTTGGAGCTGAAACGTTTTCATGTTGCGTGTGATTTTATTGTATTGAGCGGGGAGTTTTTGGCAGCTAGTGGGATCTTTAAGAAAATCTTCTACCATCTTTGTCACGCTGTCAAAGTGAATGGTTTTGCAATTTTCATAATTTTGAGTGATTCCTTTTGCCTTTAAAGTTGCTTTCCCATTTTTTGTGCGGTATGCATATGATTTAGGACCCATGGACGACCAATTGCAGATGAAATCATCTGGATCTAATTCAGATGTCAAGTCACCCAGATAATTCCCTAATGGGGGATTGTATTGTGCGTGCGTAACCAGATTTGTGTTTGCGTAACCAGATTTGTGTGTACGTAAAAAGATTTGTGCGTGCGTAACCAGATTTGTGTGTGTGTAAAATAAATATTTGTGCGTGTGTAAATAGATTTGTATGTACGTATCAAGATTTGTGTGTGCGTAAAAAGATTTGTGTGTCTGTAAAGAAAAAAAAAGTACGTTTTACACTTTATACACACGAATCTTTTGTCGCAGTCCTGCCTTCGCAGATTCGCAAGTGTAACTTGGACTGTGTGCGTGCGTAAACAGATTTGTGTGTGTGTAATTTGACATTTGTATCTGTAGCAGAACACACGAATCTCTTTTTGACACACCTCTGCCGCCAAGCGTGTGTCAAAAAGATTTGTAAGTGTAATGTGGTTGTTCTAGCAGTACACCAGCAGATGGTGCTGTTGTAGCTGGTTATTACCTACACACAAGCAAACCAAAACTTACTGCCTTGACAAGACACACTACCGCAGCTGTTTATGATATTGTTTTCCTATATTCAAAATCCTGTCATTCACACCACTGTATTATACATGGATCTATTATAATAACTGGTTTGGGTGTTACTAGCTTGGAGCTGAAGGATTCTCGCGTACTGCAGACTAAAATCACGTGGGCTACACAGCCATTTTCCCCATAGAACTCAAAGTAAACTAAAACAGCTGACAAAGAACCTACAGCTTTCATAAAGGTCGGATTTTGTGGGAATTTTAGTGTTCCTTGTCATCCTGAACTTTTCTTCTTCTTAATCCTTCGGTTTTCTCTATCTACACTATAGTGCCACAAACTCAGCTGGTTTGCTTGCGTGTATAACCAGCTACAACAGCACCATCTGCTGGTGTACTGCTAGAACAACCACATTACACTTACAAATCTTTTTGACACACGCTAAGCGGCAGAGGGGTGTCAAAAAGAGATTTGTGTGTAAAACAGAGCCTGTGCGTAGCACTTAGGCTTTTTCCGTTCTTCTCTTCGTACAACGTGGTTATTTACACACAGATTGTTCTGTTACAGATACAAATGTCAAATTACACACACACAAATCTGTTTACGCACGCATACAGTCCAAGTTACACTTGCGAATCTGCGAAGGCAGGACTGCGTCAAAAGATTCGTGTGTAAAAAAAAAACGTGTGTGTAAAACGTTTCTTTTTCTTTCTTTTTTCTTTACACACACACCAATCTTTCTACGCACACACAAACCTTTTTATGCACACACAAATCTTGATACGTACATACAAATCTATTTACACACGCACAAATATTTCTTTTACACACACACAAATCTTTTTACGTACACACAAATCTGGTTACGCACGCACAAATCTTTTTACGCACACACAAATCTGTTTACGCACACACAAATATTATTGGAACAATAATAGCTCCATAGTCTCGGATCCAATGGAATGGGCTCGTCAAACTTCTCTAAGAAAGATTGAACAGTCGGGTTACTTTTTTTCATGCGATCCCATTCATGCTCCCATATATACACTACTGACACATTGTGATCCGACTCTAATCGTGCTTTTCTCTCCATGGTCTGAGAGTAGAGCTCGTTAAAACATGTTTTAGTGAGTGGCGATTCATCATGTGGGTTGTAGCATGAATTACAGCCATGAAAAAAGCAACCTAGAAATTCAAATACAGTTGTTTTACCGTCTACTTCAGCGCATCCGTCAACACTGTATCGTCCAAATTTAACCTCCCCGCCATTCAAAGCATGCTGTATGGCAATGCCACGGCTCTCGGCCTCAAACTCCAGCCATTGAATAGAACCATGAGAGAAGGACTTGTAACCGGTTGCATAGTTCAGTGGACAGGGGATTGCAATCGTATTAGGTTCTAAGAATCTGCATTGAAAAACCGCTAATGCTGCTGAAGCGATGGTGACATTATCTATCGGGTCGCAAAGTGTTAGGTTAATAAATTCATCGCGGAAGTTACACACACCCTCAGACAGAATTTGAACATCATTTTCGCAGTAAGCCAGTATTTCAGCATCATAATTAAATGTACCATCTTTCACCGTTTGATACCATTGGAGGAAATCCGTTCTCTGTTTAATCGACATCTCATTTACCCCATAGAACTCGGGGTCAGGGTATTTGCCAATATAACCTTTTCTCGAAGGATCTGTAAATTTATGTGGGAAGTAACCTTTTTTAAGCTGTGTTTTACACCCCAACGCCTTAGGGAAATCTCTGAGAGGTATGGGCATGAAGGAGAAAGAGTCTATATATTTGAGTGAAAAATCCTTGTCTCCAATGAGAATAACTTTACTCCCCTGTGCTATTGTTTCAGGGTTTAAGCGCTCACTAACATATGCGTTCAAAAGAATGTGGTGATCAAAACCTTTCCCGTAATGTGACACAAATGTAGTATGCTCATATTTTTTTTGACGAAAATGTCGGAGGAACTTCACAGCGCAGTCTGGGCCTTCAAAAACTATATGCTCGCCGTGTAAGGATTTTGTGGCTACGAGGACTGGCACGTGCGTCCCATTAGTCTGGGAGGTCTCAAAATCAAAAAATACCACTTTTTTGCTGTATATTTGTTTTTGAGTTTTAAGTTTTTTTGTACGCATGAAACAAACATGTGGCTCAGAACCATCCTCGTTTGCTTTGGGTTGTTTACAGATTGTGCATAGAGATGCGCGGCAAATATGCTCTTTAGGATTTTCGATTGAGTTATAGTAGACTAATTTGCAAACCGGACATTTTTTATTGAGCTGACAATTGCTGACATAGCACCCCGATTTTGGACGCATTCTTTTCTCCCTGTGACGTGTATAGCAAACACGGTTTGTACATTGGCGATTGCAGTCATTACAGTAGGTGGGGCTATATGGCGTTTTTTTACAGTTGGTACCGCAAATGGAGCAACTTTTATCGCAATAGTGCCTGTACAAGTTATTATGCCCACTGTGGCAATGATGGCAAAAAAACCGAGTGCCTAGAAAACCCATGATATTTTTCACACCATAATAATGATTATGATGTAAGAAAAAATAGTGTGTTGTTTTCTGGGGGGCGGTTGGTGTTTGAAAAGTAATTAGGTTGTTTTTTTCAGTGTCGGGGGAACGATGGAAAACAACTATTTTGCAACGTAACAACTCTTCAAATTTTACAATGTCTGGAAATGCGACGTCTGCATCGAGGGATAAACCAGCCTGTGTATGAATTTTACGACCTTCGGTTATGGCCTCTGTGGTTGTCAGAGAGGGGTTTGTCAATAGCGCCAGATTAACAGCAAAACATGTTTGATCAGAGTTGTGAACTATAAACATATGTTTTGCTTTTTTTTTTATAATTTCTGAATCGAGACAAGATTCGAATCGTCTTTTGGCCCCGCCCCGAGGCGCTCTCACAATCTGGATGGTTAGCGTAAGAGTTTCATCTGTGTAAATATTATTATTACTTTGGACTAGACGCGATAAAAGATCTTGAAATTCAGACGCTAAAGTGTCACCATAGAGGAGCGTCATTGTCACATCTGTTTGTAAACTAGCGGCCCCCAGACTAACCTGAATGCGATCGTTAGGTAAAAGTCCGACCGTCTCTATGGCTCTTGAAACAGTATTGTTAAATCCATTTGTCACATTCTGGAAAAACTGGGGGAAGTCAGCTGTTGGATTTTGATGAAAACGCAGTGTTGTGGTAATTTCAATATTGCTGAATTTACCGCGACGTTTGACCTTTTCAGTACTTGTATAACCCGAATCATCATTTTCAGACATTTCATCATGGTTGTCATACACTAAACCGCCGCCCTGGTGTGAAGTTGAGGGCTGCTGAAAATCTGGTTCAAAGTGGGAAGTGGAAGGCTTAACTTGTACACCTCTTTCAACAGATTGTTCAAATGTGACTAATGAGTCCACGCACATTGAATCAGAGGGGGACCAAGGCTCCTCCTCTGATTCAATGTGCGTTCTCTCATAATGATCTACTGCATTTAGACATTGTGTATCGCTGGGACTTGCAGGATTCAATTCTAACTCACGATTGACTTGTGTTGGCGGGGGTGACGGATATCTAAATGACTGTATATCGTTTTGCAGTTGGGATTCAGTTGGAAGGTAGACTGGAGCCGCGTTCTCATTTTGGTTGATTATCTGACTGCCATGTTCACTGATTGTAGAATTACTGGTGACATTTGTTTCAGCATTTAACTCAGAGATGAGCCGGAGAAGATCCGGGGGTACATCACATGATTCAGCCATTTAAAAAAAAATACAGAGTCATTGGCATAAGAGTTCCTTGAGTCAGCACAGCTATTGCGAACAGCCCGAACAGTATAACATGTGTGCCTATACAGATTATCGCGTATGGGGCTCACCGATTGTTGTTTTCAGTAGTTCAGTTTGCTGGAAGACTTTGGTAATGCTGCTCCGATTCACACTTGAAGTGGTTTGGTTGTTCCAGGGCTTTCATCAGATGTCGGTCTGGGGATCCTCTGCTGACTAGCCGATTGGGGGATCCTGATGATCTGATGGAGAATGTTATTGATTAGTTTTAAACACACATAGAAGATAATAATAATAAAATAAAATCCGCTTACTTTTTCCCAGTTGAAATGTAGATTCTGAGATCTTTAAGAACGAGTGAATCTTCTTCTCCAGTGGTCTGAAACTAAAAGAAGACGGGGTTAATGCCTTACACTTTAGATATAATAAAACAGTGATGCAGGGAGTGTGTGTGCGAAAACGCACACACGCACACACATTCTTTTCAGAGTCTAGGGGGGCATGCTGAACGCACAGAGACATGGAGGGGAGAGAGAGGCTAGGCGCACACGCACACACAGTAACTTATTGTGTAAATAGCAAAATTCAATTACTCACAGAGGTGTGGTAGGGCTTAGCTCCAAAACTGGAAGGTGCAGTCTTCTCAATCCGGGGATGTAGACTCTTCTTGATGCTGGTGGCGCAGACTCTTCTTGATGCTGGTGGCGCAGACTCTTCTTGGTGCTGGTGGCGCAGACTCTTCTTGATGCTGGTGGCGCAGACTCTTCTTGATGTTGGTCAACACTGATCAATCTCATGGGTCCAGTATTTATACACATAGGAGGTGAGATAGACCCACCCACATCCTAGACTTATCAATTGTCTCACTTTTAACAAGGAAATTATTTTCTCTCTGCAGGTGCCTTGCTTTTGAGGAAGTTTTCTTTTGAAAAACCCGCGGGAAGATTTTATCCCTTGTCATTGGGCTTATCAATTGTCACTCTTAAGGGCATAGATGCTTTCTCACAGACCTCTCTCCCACCATGCTTAATTAAAGTTAAAGGAAAATAGAACAAAAACATTTTTCCACCCCCTGTGACCTCTGGGTTCCCACGCTTTTTAGACAATAGAGGGGTGCCATTTTGGACAATAGAGGGGGCGTGGCTAAAGGTCAAAAGGTCATCCATCAACGTTTGACAGAAAGCATGTCATACCCCTGGGTTTTTGGACATTTTATTTTGAAATACTTACCTGTTCGCTATGCTTTAGATTTACATCACTCCCTGTTTCCTGCCTGTGATTTGTTTGCCCCGCCCTAATGTGTTGCACCTGTGTTGATTACTCTGTATATCACCCCACCTGTTCCTTTGGTCTTTGCCAGATTGTCTTTGTTTCCCTCATGTTCTGGGCTCTGGAGTGCTACCTAAGTTTGCTACTTTGTTTTTGCCAAATAAAGGCTTGGAAGTATTTTTCGTTCTCCTGGCGTCTCTGCTCCTGGGTTTTCGTGTCTTAGGGGGCCGCGTGTTACAGTACAATCTGGCCATGACTGACCCAGCGGAGACTGCAGCCGTTCGTTCTGCTATTCAGACCCAAGGAAAGAGACTTTCGAACCATGAGAAGATGCTCACTGAATTAGCAGGGGGAATTCAAGATCTTCATGCCCGTCATGATTCATTCCAGGCCAGTGTTTTGCAGCAGCTCCAAGCCTTGACCGTTCAGAATCAACAACTCTTGGCTCAGGTGGGGGCTAGTGCTTCAGCCACCATTTCTAACTCGTCTGAGGCAGCTCTTGAACCAGCTCCAGAGCCCACCGCCCCTGCACTGGATCCAAGGTTTGAACCACGGGCTCCTTCCATAGAGAAGTACGACGGCAGCCCTGGGACCTGTAGGTCATTTTTGACGCTCTGCTCTTTGACGTTTGATCTCCAGCCCACGTCATTTGCCTCTCAGCGTTCCCGTGTGGCCTTCATTATCACAAATCTAACTGGAAGAGCACGTGAGTGGGCCACAGCTGAGTGGGAGAAACAATCCGAGGTATGCTTTACTGCGAGAGCATTTACGGACACCCTGAGAAAGGTTTTTGATTGTTCTACACCTGGTCGTGAGGCAGCTCGTGAGTTACTAGCTCTCAAACAAGGACCATCTCGGGTGTCGGATCATGCTATTCGGTTCCGCACCCTGGCTGCTGACAGTGAGTGGAACTCCTCATCTCTTTGCGACACTTTTCTGCATAGCCTCTCTGATGAGGTGAAGGATCACCTTGCTCCTATAGATCTCCCAGAGGACTTTGACTCCCTAGTGGCGCTTGCTGTTAAGATAGATAATCGCCTACAAGAGAGAAGAAGAGAAAAGGTGCGGTGTAAGAGTTTTCTGGACATGGGCCGGCCCGTACTGCCTCTACATGCGGACCGGTTCTCTAGTCCGGGTCTCAAACATGATTTGCCATCTTCCTTTCCGGTGAGTGCTGATGAACCCATGCAGGTGGGCCGCACCCATCTAACACCCGAAGAACGCCAACGTCGTCAGCAAGAGGGACGGTGCTTTTACTGCGGTAAAGTCGGTCACGTCCTAGCCTCCTGTCCAGTAAAAGGTCGGGCCCATCAGTGAAAGGAGGATTGCTGGTGAGCCGAACTTCCTTTTCCTCCAAGTCCCGTTCAGTTACTCGCGTCCGGTTAACTACCACTGCCCTGTCCCTGGAACTTTCTGCCTTCATTGATTCTGGGGCTGATGGAAATTTCATGGACAAGAATCTAGCCCATCAGCTCCAACTCAAGCCTATTCTGCTGTCATCGCCGTTGGTAGCGCATGCTCTGGATGGCCGGCTGCTGTGCAGGGTACTCCACCAGACTCCTCCTCTGAGCCTCAACCTGTCAGGTAACCATTCTGAAACACTTCATTTTCACATTATTGATTCACCCCAGTTTCCGCTAATCCTTGGTTACCCATGGCTTGTCAAACATAATCCTCATATTGACTGGTCAACCGGCAGAATCGTGGGATGGGGCAATAACTGCCATGCCTCTTGTCTTTTGTCCACCTCTTCCTCTGTTCTTTCCAAGAGTGCTGCTGCATCGCCAGAGTACCCGGACCTCGCGAAGGTTCCTTCGGAGTATCTGGACCTTAAAGAAGTGTTCAATAAGGCCAGAGCCACTTCGCTTCCCCCCCATCGGCCATATGACTGCTCTATTGACCTCCTCCCTGGTTCGTCACCACCCAAGGGTCGCCTTTACTCATTGTCTCCTCTTGAGAGAGAGGCAATGGACCAGTACATCCAAGACTCGCTGGATGCGGGTATCATTCGGCCTTCCTCGTCTCCAGCTGGAGCGGGTTTCTTCTTCGTCGAGAAGAAGGACACTACACTGCGTCCGTGCATCGACTACCGTGGCCTGAACAACATAACCATCAAGAACAGGTATCCGCTCCCCTTAATTTCCTCCGCCTTTGAACTGCTACAAGGTGCCACTATTTTCACTAAATTGGATCTAAGGAACGCATATCACCTTGTACGCATAAGAGAGGGCAACGAATGGAAGACAGCGTTTAACACACCCAGCGGGCACTATGAGTATCTGGTCATGCCTTTCGGACTCACCAATGCCCCTGCAGTGTTTCAGTGCCTCGTGAATGACGTGCTTCGTGATATGCTTAACCACTTTGTGTTTGTTTATTTGGACGATATCCTTATTTTCTCTAAGTCCGAGGAGGAGCATGTTCGGCACGTCCGTCAAGTCTTGCAGCGGCTGCTGGAGAATCAACTATTCGTCAAAGCGGAGAAGTGCGACTTCCACCAGCAGAGCGTATCCTTCTTGGGGTTCATTGTTGATACTGGTGGTATTAGGATGGATCCGTCTAAGGTCAGTGCAGTGACTAATTGGCCTGTCCCCTCTGATCGCAAACAGTTGCAACGTTTTTTGGGCTTCGCGAACTTTTATAGGCGATTCATACGGAACTACAGCTGTGTTGCTACACCGTTGCATGCCCTCACCTCTTCCACTCCTAAGTTCCAGTGGACTCAACAGGCTGACGACGCATTCAGGAACCTCAAGCAACGGTTTGCCACTGCTCCTATACTAACCTTGCCAGATCCTAAGCTGCAGTTTATTGTGGAGGTGGACGCGTCTAGTGTGGGAGTGGGAGCAGTTCTCTCCCAACGCAACCCCGAGGACAACAAGGTACATCCGTGTGCTTTTTTTTCAAAGAAGCTTTCCAGCGCAGAACGGAATTATGACGTCGGGAACCGAGAACTTCTTGCTGTTAAACTTTCCCTGGAAGAATGGCGGCATTGGCTCGAGGGCGCGGCACAGCCGTTTCTAGTCTGGACGGACCATAAGAATCTCGAATACATTAGGACCGCCAAGAGACTCAACTCGCGCCAGGCCAGGTGGGCTCTATTTTTCAATCGCTTCTCCTTCACGTTGTCCTATCGTCCAGGTTCCAGGAATGTCAAGCCTGATGCCCTGTCCCGTCAGTTTGAAGCTGCTTCTTCCGCCTCTGAGCCCACGACTATTCTGCCTTCTGCATGTGTCATCGGTGCCATCACCTGGGATGTGGAGAGAGAGGTTAAAAGAACCCAGGAGGGCATCCAGACGCCAGCGGGCTGTCCCCGTAACCGACTTTTTGTCCCTGCTCCTCTTCGCTCTCGTGTCCTCCAATGGGCCCATAATTCTCCGTTTACCTGTCATCCAGGGGTGAGTCGCACTGCATTTGTTATTAAACAGAGGTTTTGGTGGCCCTCTCTGTTGCAGGACGTGGGGGAGTTTGTTGCAGCTTGCCCAACTTGTGCCCGGAGCAAGACGTCCAGACACCCAGTTTCTGGCCTCCTCCAGCCTCCTCCGATTCCCAAACGCCCTTGGTCTCACATCTCCTTGGACTTTGTTACTGGGTTACCTCCATCTGAAGGTAACACCACCATTCTGACAGTGGTTGACCGCTTTTCAAAGATGGCACACTTTGTCCCACTGCCCAAACTCCCCTCTGCCAAGGAAACTGCGGAGCTTCTGTTGTCCAATGTTTTTCGTCTGCATGGTCTGCCACAGGACATTGTCAGTGACCGGGGCCCTCAGTTCACATCCAGCTTCTGGAAGGAGTTCTGCAGACTTATTGGTGCGTCTGTTAGCCTGTCGTCCGGCTATCATCCACAGTCTAATGGTCAGACTGAGCGGTACAACCAGGAACTGGAAACTGGATTAAGGTGTTTGGTGTCTCAAAGCCCTTCTCAGTGGTGCAATAAGCTGGTGTGGATTGAATACGCACACAATTCTCTCCCTGTTTCGTCTACTGGCATGTCCCCATTTCACTGTGTCAATGGTTATCAACCTCCTATGTTTGCAGACCTTGAGGACGAGGTGACTGTCCCTTCTGCTCACGCTCTGGTCCGTCGGTGCCACGTCACTTGGAGGAAGGCCCGTGCCGCCCTTGTTCAAGCCTCTGCCCGTTACAAGAAAGCGGCTGACCGGCATCGCACACCCGCCCCTTGTTACAGGGTGGGTCAGAAGGTTTGGCTCTCTACGAGGGATCTCCCCTTGAGAGTTGAAAGTCGCAAGTTGGCCCCCAGGTTTGTGGGTCCCTTCCCCATTTCCAAGGTCATCAGTCCTGTCGCTGTCAGGCTCCAGCTCCCACGTACCATGAAAGTCCATCCTACATTCCACGTCTCTAAGATAAAGCCCGCCATATCCAGCCCGTTGGTTCCCCCCTCCAGGCCCCCGCCGCCCCCCCGTGTCGTGGATGGTGCCCCTGCTTTCTCTGTGAGACGTCTCCTGGCTGTCCGCCGCAGGGGTCGGGGCCGGCAATATCTCGTCGATTGGGAAGGATACGGTCCTGAGGAGAGGTCTTGGGTGCCCGCCCGGGACATTCTGGATCCTGAGCTCGTCCGGGAGTTTCGTGCTCGCTCTGGGACTTCTGGTGCCGTCCCTTAGGTGGGGGGTGGTGTCATACCCCTGGGTTTTTGGACATTTTATTTTGAAATACTTACCTGTTCGCTATGCTTTAGATTTACATCACTCCCTGTTTCCTGCCTGTGATTTGTTTGCCCCGCCCTAATGTGTTGCACCTGTGTTGATTACTCTGTATATCACCCCACCTGTTCCTTTGGTCTTTGCCAGATTGTCTTTGTTTCCCTCATGTTCTGGGCTCTGGAGTGCTACCTAAGTTTGCTACTTTGTTTTTGCCAAATAAAGGCTTGGAAGTATTTTTCGTTCTCCTGGCGTCTCTGCTCCTGGGTTTTCGTGTCTTAGGGGGCCGCGTGTTACAAAGCACTTACTTATTTCTCTGACAGTGTTGATGATCCAGGACACTCAACATTGAACGACATTTATGGACTGGACTTTATTAACATTATGGACATCGGTCTCAGCCCCTTATGGACCAATGGCTCTATGTGTTTTTGATCATTGCATTTTCTGTGTTTGAACTGTTTGATTTTCTGATCTGTGTTGGGGAATCGACAGCTTTGTATATTCCTCTGAGATAACTTATGTAGTGATTTAGGGAAATACACAAAGAAATTGAAGTGATTCACTCATTCATTTTCCACCCCTTTATAAGTCAATTTCTGGGTCGGGGGGTGACAATCAGAGCTGCCACCCAATGCTCATAGCACCAGTCCTTCGCTGATCCTCCTGCCGGCAATGTGGGGTTAATGCTCTACCAACTGAGCCGCTGTCGAATTGTAGTTGGTAATTGTCGCCACTGGTAATGGAAAGAACATACAAACTCGCTGGTCCTCTCACTCCTCTGGCTATTGTCTGGTTATGTCACTGCAGCAACATGGTGGCATAGTGGTTAGCACTAGTGGTTCACAGCAAGCACCTGGGTTTGATTCCAGACGGGTCCTGGAGGTGGAAATAAATAAATGAATGTTTAGTGCGATGGGAGTGGTTTGAGTGGGAGCATCCTTTCCTACAGAAGGGGAAGTGTTTCTGAGACAGTGTGTATAAAATGAGAGCGGTTGTGACTGTAGTTAGATCTGATCCTGACCATGTCTCCTCTGCTGTTCCTGCAGGTGTTCCTCCAGGTGCTCCTGCTGCTGGTCAGCAGCTCCGAGGCCTACAAACCTGTCATCATTGTGCACGGACTGTTCGGTGGACCAGGCGACTACATAACTCTCACTGACTTCATCCAGGAGGTGAGGAACTGATCAAGGCAGTTTCCAATAATAATAATACGAGACAGAAATAGTCTTCCAAACTTCTGAATTAATGCATCAAATAATGGCAAATTTTTCAAAAATGGGTGAAGCAAAAGCATGGCAGAGAGCCCAGGAGCCGCCGCGGTGGAGGAGGACCATGATAAGGACTCTCAAAGTGTTGTACCGTGGCCATACCTCCAAAAGTACATCACTCTAGTCGAGATGAGCGAAAAGAAATATGTTTTCAGATGCCTACTCTTTGTTGTTTTTGGTGTTTTGGGCTATTGTTCAATAAATATCTACACAATTTTAACCTTTATCTGACTGACAGTTTATCTCAAATAAGAAGATAAGCTTTATTAATCTCACACAGGAGAAATGTACATGTCACATTTGGCATGGATAAAACACTCAAGAATTGTGCAAAAAATAAGAAATGAGCAAACATGTTAATGCAGGAAAATATAAAATTGCATGAACTGCAGTTTGTTTAATTGAAAATAGCTTCTATATAGCAAGCTACTTTTGACAGAATTTTGTAACTTAGCTTGCTACATTTGTATGGGTGGTAGCTTCTGTGTAGTGAAGCTGAATTTATTGTAGAGTAGCTTGTAGCTTAGCTCACTACACAAATCAAGTAGCTTGCCCATCACTGGTCATTTGTGTGCAGACCCACCCCGGCACTAATGTCACCACTCTGGTCATGTATGACAATTGGAGGAGTCTTACGCCTCTCTGGACTCAGGTGGAAAGCTTAAGCTCTCTTCTGGAAGCCAAGCTGAACCAGTCCGAAGAGGGTGCCCATCTGATCTGCTACTCTCAAGGTACAACCAGGACTAAACCTGGGTAGCAGACTTCCGTTCATTTAAATGTTTCGAACGGCTCTCAAAACGTACAAACCCAATGTCAATTATGAATGATGTGAGTTCCAGCGTGAATCCTTGCGGTTCTCCACAGGTACAACTACAACTTGATCAGTGCTGGTCAATCTGTAAAATCTGTTGTCTTTCACACTAACAGCTCTCCAACCATTACTTTGTTTGTTCCTTATGCCACAGGTTTCCATTTTGTTTGTTAAGATACAATCATACAAATAAAGCCTTTCCCCAGGTGAACTAGACTTAGTGCAGTTAAAATGAACCAGTGTGAGCGTCGGTCTGCTACAATAGTGATATAAAATGAATGAATAGAAGCTACTAAAGGCTGTTGTGTGTTGTGTTGTGTTGTGCAGGAGGTGTGATCTGCAGAGCGCTGCTGTCTGTGATCCCAAACCACAACATTCACACGTTCATCGCCTTGTCCTCTCCTCTGGCCGGACAGTTCGGAGGTCAGAGACTCACTTGTGAAGTATTCTAATGACAGCATGATGTTCTGGGACAGTTTGAGCCATTAACAGTTTTGTGTATGTATATACACATTTACAGGAGCCTGATGAAAAGTTGCCGCCGCCATGTTAAACATAACTTCTGACAAAAGCCCTCGTAATTACGTCACACATGATGAAAGAATGTTTACATGAAGCAGCTTTAGTACCGTTCGAACTGTTCTCTCTCATGAGCCCAACATCCCTGTGCAGCAGATGGTCTGTGAGCAAAAGAGTTACGTTTGTGTTGTTTGTGTTGTTTGTGTTGCAGTCACAAAACACCTCAGACGGTTTTTCCCCTACACAGTTTGTGAAGACTTTTACAGAATCTGCTACAAGAGCTGGTTCCAGCGGTTGTCCGTCTGTCAGTACTGGAACGGTCTGTGGACAAGTATCACCAGGACACATGATGTTTAAGTTACTTTTAATTTGCTTTTTTTTATCTAAAGTAAAATATGTTTTTATTGTGTAAACTTAAGCAAGTCATGCATGCTTTTATCCTTCATGTCTGGACACTCCTCTCACTTTCTTATTTTCTATTAAATTAAACTATATACAATTGAGTAGATTAACTTGATATCATTCCACAGATCCTCATTACAGAGACCTTTACCTTGAGAAAAACAACTTTCTGCCTCTGATCAACGGAGAGACCCAGCACAAGGATCTACCAGGTCTGAACCAGGACTGAACCAGGACTGAACCAGGTCTGAACCAGGACTAAAGCAGGACTAAAGCAGGACTAAAGCAGGACTAAAGCAGGACTAAAGCAGGACTAAAGCAGGACTAAAGCAGGACTAGAACAGGACGGAACCAGAACAGAACCAGGACTGAAGCAGGACTGAAGCGGAACTGAACCAGGACTGAGTCTGTGTATTTTGCTGCAGAGTGGAAGAAGAACTTCCTGCAGATAAAGAAGATGGTTCTGATTGGAGGTCCAGACGACGGGGTCATTACTCCGTGGCAGTCCAGGTCTGTGGCAGACGACACGGGACAACACAACACGACTGAGAAGCACATAGAAGAGCTGTTTGAATTAGACGCTACACATGTGCTTACAAATACACATAGTGTACAAAGAAATTCTCCTTGACAGTGATATGTCTCACAATTTCTTCCCAGTCTCTTTGGATTTTGGAACGAGAAGCGAGAAGTGGTGGAGATGAAGAATCAAGAGGTGAGTCCTGCACTTTATATCTGTGTGTTTTCCCCTCTCCTTCCTCGGCCATGGCCACAGCTGCATGTTGAAGCCAGATCACGTCTAACCTCTGAAGCTAGCAACTAAAAACAAACAGGTTAACTATTTTTTTTTTTGCATTTTAATACTTTTATTTCTTGTACACAAACCAAAAGTGAACAGACAGGTAGCCCCCCCCCACCCAATCCCCTAATCTGTAACATTCTTAAACTAAAATAAACAGCACCCAATCACAAAAATAAATCCACAAAAATAGAAAATAAGAACTAAGAAATAGGAACAGAAACAAAACGATAAACTACAATAATAATGCTAATTAAATGGATGAGAGAAAAGAAAAACCATAACTTACAATACATACATAATACATATACATACATACACATATATATATACATTACATATATATATATACACATATACATACATACATACATACACACACACACACACACACATATACATACATACACATATATATATACATACATAGATACATTCCTAAAAACCTACGTATGCAAAGACTTGCACAAACACAGACATATAAAGGAACATACATAACTACACACAGACATATAAAGGAACATACATAACTACACACAGACATATAAAGGAACATACATAACTACACACAGACATATAAAGGTACATACATAACTACACACAGACATATAAAGGAACATACATAACTACACACAGACATATACAGGAACATACATAACTACACACAGACATATAAAGGAACATACATAACTACACACAGACATATAAAGGAACATACATAACTACACACAGACATATACAGGAACATACATAACTACACACAGACATATAAAGGAACATACATGCACATATACATAGACATAGAACTATATTTTCAGCTCATGTAAGTAGATCTTCCATTTTGTATCAAACTGGGGTAGTTTGTTACAGTTGATGGCAATTATTTTTTCTAAGTTATATTGATAGCATATTCTGTTTCTGAAGTGTTTTAAACACAATCATGTTTTTGTTTTGGCTTTAAAAATAAATATCTTCCCCAATATTATAACTAAATTTATAAACGGGACATAATCATCCCCCAAAATACCCAACAAAATGTTCATGGGTGTGAGTACCAAGGTAAGTCCAATAGATTTTAGCCATAACTGAACAGAAGTCCAAAACTTTGCAAAAAATGGACAGTAATAAAATAAATGCAAACAGGTTAAACTTGGAGAACTAGGATGTAAGCCATAATCATTAACAATACAAGAAACACATCCAGTTTCACTTGTAAAATACGTGTTTCACTATCTCAACTTTGGCCAATCTTCGTTATCGACATTTTAATCAAAACTGCACAAATTATAGCTAAAATACCGTAAAAAAACTCAATTTAGTGTTGCTCTCAAACCAGTCTGAACACTCTGGTCACAGTCTCCATGCACATTCTGCAACTTTCAAAGGCGTCTTGTTCCTTTGCCTTAGCGCTTACGCTGGAACAGAAATGTCAGTCATTAATACTGTATAATACATGTTTAGCAAATGTAAACCTCAGAAGCTAAGCAGGGCAGGTCCTGGTTAGTACTGTGATGGGAGACCTCTGTGAACACCAGGTGCCACAGTGGGGCGGCTGTAGCTGTAAAGTGCCAAACTGTCGCATTGTCCTGAGGCAAGACATCCACATTAGAATGAGTCTGGTCACGTGGGCTACTGAGAAAAATGTGCCATAGAACTCAATGTAAACAAAAACAGCTCGATCTCAGCTGACAGAGAACCTACAGCTTTCATAAAGCTTGGATTTTGTGGAGATTTTAGTGTCCGCTGTCATCCTCAACCTTTTTTCTTTTTAAATCCATCCGTTTTCTTTAAATCCACTCTTTTGTGCCACAAACTGCTCGTTTGAGTCCCGCTCTAGCTCCGTCAGAACGCTTCCATGTCCCTCTGGGCATGTGCATGAGAGCCACACGCGAATCCTTAGTATGGGCGCAAAGCATCATGGGAGTTCGCCTACTGCGCAGAACCAGGAGGACAAGAGCCATGACCAAATATGGGTGGGCTGCGCTAATTTTTGGGTCCCTGTGTAGGTCCCATGCGTTTGAATAGTCTGCCATCTTGGATCACCAGAGCTTGGTGTGTGAATGGTTGGTGCGGGTGGGAGGGGCCGATGCCACATACTTCTGTCAGTGTGCCCCAGGGCACCTGTGGCTACAGTAGTAATATATCACCACTGTGTATAGAGTGAAAGAATAATGACACGTGAAGCATCTTTGAGAGTCAATAAAAGTGCTGTATAAAACCAACGCAATATTATCATTATTATTATTAATGAAATGTGTTCTTTCTGTGGTTTACAGTTTTACACCTCTGACGCCTTTGGCCTGAAGACGCTGGACTCTCGTGGAGACATCTCAGTCTGTGTTCAGTCTGGAGTCCCTCATGCCCACTGGCACATTAACATCACCGTCTTCAACAACTGCATTAAGGATTGGCTCATCTGAACATCCAACAGAGAACAGCCTAGACTTCAGTTATTATTCATTTCTCTTGTGCTGTGTGCTCCTTATTCCTACTGTTCTGTAACTGATTTCCCCACTGTGGGACGAATAAAGAATCTTTTCATCACAATCTCAATCATTCTTGTTGCTTGACATTTCATGCACCAACACTGGCATTTGTTTGATTATTCATGCACCTGTAATACTGTATGGAGAAATGTGCTCAGACTAAAAAGAAAGGACTAAACATACTCCCCAGTTCCTCCAGCTCGACCTGACCCCACTCTACTGCTCACCGGCCCGGATTAATCGGTACCAGTATGAAGGTTATTTTGTGTTTTTATTATCAACACTTTTTTTTGCTTTTGAATTCTATAAACTATAAAACAAATAAATTAAATGTTTTAAAATTCAGTGTCCAAAAATTCAATGTTGAAAAAAATTCAGTGTCCAAAAATTCGTTGCATTTTTTTTCGCTGCTTGAAATGTCATGCTTTATTCCCGGGTAAATCAAGAACAAAGCAATCGATCAGCCAATCCTCCATAGATGTAGCCAGGGCCAGAACATGACTGTCTTGTTCATCTGAACATGGCGTCCACAGCAAACCAGTGAGTGTGTTTTCACATCATTAGTTGGTGTGTAACACACAAACCACTATGTACTTTCTGAACATGTTTTTACCTTAGCTTATCATTAGCTAGCTCCGCGTAGGTGGCTTCTATGTTTTGGCTATTCCCCAAAGCTAATCTTCGCTAATGCTAAGCTAAAATGAAACGCAGGAAAGCCAAGTACACGGGGGTTTGTGGTTCTTGTGTGACATATGTACTATGTTCCCAATTTCAATGTGTATTCTATGTGTATATTATTCTAGCAGTGCAGCAAGGATGAAACCTGCTGTTTTAGAGACAGAGCATGCTAAGGGGTTGTTGTTAATTTTGTTCATTTTTATGTATCTAGACCTCCAATAATTATTCTATCTTTACTCTTAAATTTGGACATCTTAGTTAAACCAAGACGGAATGAAGGATCGGTTCTTTAGGGAGAAAACAAACCCATGGATTCAATATTAATGCTACAGAGAGGAATCAGACTGATAGATATGGTTTTAATAGAGTATATTTGTAAATCCCACTCTACCAGCCTCCTGTTAAAGACTGGGAATGTATTTACATTTACTGTTGATATGTTAAGTTCATGTGTGTGTTTGTAAAGGCATCGTACTTCTGCTCCTCCTCAGAGCGTCTGTTTCTACTCTACTGTGTATTTGTATTAATTAATTTGACTGGGACAGTACATGTATATGAACATATATGTCAACATGTCTGATTGTAACAAAAGGCTCATTTTAATCCCAGAAGAACCGATTAATTAATGATTTTTTGTGTGAATTTCTTTTCCAGAGGCAGCTGTCTTCCAGAGGCATCATTTCTTCATCCATTTCCATCACCTCCAGCTTCTGTGGATTACGATATTACGGAGCCCTGCAAGGGCCAGGGGTAAAAAAAACAAAAAACTGTGAGCACGGATTATTAAACTGTGCGCACAGATTGTTGAGCCGTGCCCACAAATGCAACATGTGAGCGCTATATGCACGCATCACTTCCGGGTTCTGCGTCAGATGAGATGTCACTTCCGGCGCCGCGTCATACCCGGTCTACTGCTGTTACAGTCTATGCAACTCGGATAGATGTCCAAAAGATCTAGTATTTATTACGTTTCGGCCTTGGCCTTCGTCAGATCATTTTTATCTTATTCATTTTTGAATGAATAAGATCAAAATGATCTGACGAAGGCTAAGGTTGAAACGTAATAAATACTAGATCTTTTGGACATCTATCCGAGTGTGCTGTGTATTTTCCAATACATTAATAATTTCTGCTCCAGCACATGCACCTCATGAGAAGAACTTGGTGTGCGTTTTTGTTTTTCTAGTTACAGTCTATGCAACTACCACGGAAAATGGCAGATTTCACTCGTTGTTTAATCGAGATCCCAAAAGTCTCGGTTAATGACATCCGACGACTGGTCAGGAGTGTGTCGATAACTCCACAGAGCCTCATGGAGAAGGGGTTTAAGTTGTATGTTTGTTCGTACATCATAAACTTTGAAGGTAAGTTCACAGGCTCTAACTCTTGCTAACATGCTAACTGATGTGACTGCCTTTTAATACCCGCAATGACCCATTCGTAGCGAGCTAATGTTATGTACATGTGTTACGATTAAAGTTGTTTTTCTAATTACCAGTGTCAGGTAAAAATTCTCTGACAGGCGAGGTGACAGTTAGAGCCCGTTGCTACCGCTCTATGAAGAAGTCCGAGGCTCCCCACCAGCTGAGAGTAGGACTTAGTCACGGCCATCGTTCTGGCATCTCTGTTGTTCAGTCCCGTTGGACTTTGTCTTTGTCTTTGTCCCGTTGGACTGTTGTTGTGTTGTCCTGTTGGACTTAATGTTGTTCTATGTTCTGTAGAACATGTTCAAATATGCTTTTTAATATAGGGGAAGCCACGCTGAAACGTTGGTAGGCAGCTAAGTAGGACGAGAATTTGTCTGGCAGCTCTGATTTTGATTACTTGTGGCAGTACAAGGTGTGGGCGGGCTCTTAATTTGAGGGGGCGAGTTCCAATTGGCCGCTTGTGCTGGCCGTCAGCCCATAAAAGCACTGCTGTGATTGCTCCTCCACCTCTGGCCTCTTGCTTTGGCCCCACCCACCGGCGTGCATCTCCATATGCTGTCTGACACCTCGCAGCAGCTTGAACGTCACTGTCTCAAAGCCATGCACACAATGCGCTGATCTACACGCTGTTGTCAAAAAAAAACACTTTGACGGACGTGTCCGGGTTGATGCAGGATACGAGACGGAGACTTTTTCCAAGTTTAACATCTGTATTTAATTTATCTTTACAATCAGATACAGAAATTCAACAAGAGAGCTCCTATGCTGCCTATGTCCCTCGCTCGCCCTGTGCTCACTGAACTCAAAACTCAAGCCAAAGCATATAAGAAGATGTGCAGGAAGAAGGGGCGTGTCGCATCAGGCAGCTTCCGATCCCGTGATCCGCCTCCGCACCATCTGGTCTCCTCCGTCTCCATTCCACACCTAAAAAAGAATTCACGCTTCCTAACCTATAGATTTATTCCTTATAAGGAAATAGTATCCAGGCAGCTGTCACTGGTCTGGGATCAATCTCTGTTGTCTAAACAACTCCCTCAATTAGTTTCAACAGCCCGCTTTCCTAAAGAACAAACCTATGTGCAGTACAAAACACATCACACTAATAACATAATATCTAAGTACATGAAATCACCTAAAATATGAAGTAAATATATGTTAAGAAAGGTTATGTGTATTATCATATCGACAAATGAGTAGACTAGAAGACTCTAGCCAGTCAACCAATTCATGATTGAGTGAGGTGAAGAATGTAGAAGTCAGTCAACCCCCAAGCAGGAGTAAAGAAAGACTAGGAGAAAAACTAAACAAGCAGAAACCATCTGTTGTTTAGTTGATCCCACACAAGAAGACACCTCCAATGAATAAAAAGACTGGCCTCCAACCCAGAGTTCAATAGGTCATCAAACACATGCGTTTTAGTGTGTCAACGTATTTATATAAATACCACAACGCCTCTGTATCTAAGTAACGGTAAGCCCTCCTGTTCCACAAACACTCTACGAGCATACTCTTAGCATTGTGTTTGTTTAGGCTCAATCGTTCGCACCCTTGTCCTCTCCCTCATTGGAGCTGCAAATAAGGCTCTAGTAAGTATGCCTGTTTAATATGTGCTGGGATAACAATATGTAAAAGTATGTGCCTCCGCTTATGCATGTAGACGCTGCCGCTTTGCCCACTCTCATCTATGCGCCTTGCCGCGCGCTGTGCTCTCTGCTGGGGCTGCCTACTCTCTGCTGGGGCTGCCTGCTCTCTGCTGGGGCTGCCTGCTCTCTGCTGGGGCTGCCTGCTCTCTGCTGGGGCTGCCTGCTTTCTGCTGGGGCTGCCTGCTCTCTGCTGGGGCTGCCTGCTCTCTGCTGGGGCTGCCTGCTCTCTGCTGGGGCTGCCTGCTCTCTGCTGGGGCTGCCTGCTCTCTGCTGGGGCTGCCTGCTCTCTGCTGGGGCTGCCTGCTCTCTGCTGGGGCTGCCTGCTCTCTGCTGGGGCTGCCTGCTCTCTGCTGGGGCTGCCTGCTTTCTGCTGGGGCTGCCTGCTCTCTGCTGGGGCTGCCTGCTCTCTGCTGGGGCTGCCTATTGTTTGCTTCGCTGCCCGCGCCCCTGTTGGAGTTTGGAGATTGTAGCCCACCCTGCTTCGCTCGCAGCAACCAGGGCCCGCATATCCCAGCACTACAGCCAGAGACGTTGACACGAGAGACTTAAAGACGGCACCTTCCATGCTCCTCAAGCCTTGATGTCTTTTTATTTGACTGTCGTTCACCTGCACTGCCTATTGTGACCATGCTGTTGTTTTGTAGGGGCTGAAGGTCCGACACCGTGGTGGTGGATTCCTCTGGTGGTGGTTCCTGTTTGGGTTTGGTTTGCACATTTTGTTTGTGGTGTTTATTTTGCATTATTTTAGCTTTCCGCCCCTTTTAGTTCTCCCCTCACGGTTAGGCCTCAGCCCCGAATTTCTTTAGCGTGTGTAGTGTGTGTGTGTGTATGTGTGTACGGTGTTTGATGGTGTGCGTGTGGTATGCTTGATGGTGTGCGTGGGGTGTGCTTGCTGTGCGTGTGGTGTGATTTTATTAGCTAGGACTCAGGTCTTCTAATTGTTAAACTTAAAATAAAACTTTTGTACTATTGAATGGGACTGTCTCTGCCTCCTCAGTAAAACTTACCTGTGTGCTCTCTTCAAGTTAATTATATTTTCCCAGGTACTAGACCTGGGTGGCGTTGCTGATTCTAAATTTGCCACTCTATAATTCTCCCACCGCTCACGCTACATACTCATGAAAGGTTATTAAACAAACAGAAATAATTTCTAAACCTTCCAATTGTACATATACTTTCACCCTAC